AGATGGAAGGATCAGAAAGTAAATCTTCAAAGATCGAACATCGTGCCATGCTCGAAGGGCAATGAAGAAATGCGCTGCCAGGAAGGATTAAAGAAACGAAAGGCAGCGGGTGGTGGGGGAGGAGATGGATAGAGAGGGAGAGCAGGATGAAAATCGATATAGATAGCGGGTGTGATTTGAATTTTACATATAACGTATACACAAGCTTGCGATCAGTAGGGCGGAATCGAAGCCGCACGAGAAGCAGATACTACATCGCGTTGACTCTGTGAAGCCCCCCGAGGGGTTGATTCGGGTTTACAAGTCATTGCCAATCCTAAGCGGCTCCGCGAAAGATCTTTCGAGGAGGGGAAAGTTTCAAAATCAGAGATTTGCAACAGCTATTCTTAATCGGTTAATAAAACATTTTTCCGTGAGACAATACGTACGATGATAGTACTGACTTTAAGATGTAATTAGAACAGTGATTTTATTGCGTATTAATTAACGACAAAACATTTTCTAATTATTTCTGCTATCGCAACGAGCAAATAATACCTAATGTGATATATTTCTTTTCAAAAATATATAAACGTATGATACACATATAATTAGAATTCATTAATTATATATATATACATAATATATATGATAGAATTAATTTTTAATGAGTTTAAAAAATGGTATATTACAACGATAACTATAAATTTGTTATCTCATATACATCCAAATTTAGTTGAATTTATTTTATGCTAACCACAAAGCAAAGCGCGAACGTATAATGCTTCGTAATCTCCCAACAGACAATTTCAAAATCCGAAATTGATAGTCGCACCATGAAAAGCAGAAAGAAAAGTACGCGCATCGCCGATGGACTCGTGGGAGTTGCGGGCATATTGTATGGAGCCAGGTACTCCTAGGTGTAAATAATAGTTACTATTCCATTGCTCCCCTTCCGTTACGTTCGCCCCGAGGGCATCCGCATCCCTCTCGTATCGTTACCCGGCTGTTTGTACGTGTTCCACCCTTTCCGAACACATGTTCGTATTTTTCATAGAGACATTCAGTCCCCGGCTTGTCGAGTACGCCGCTTTTGTCGAACTTTCGACTCTGTTCAAAAGTTTCCGACTTCGCTCGAGCTCTTCCGTTTATGTCAACTTCACGACTCCATCATCCGACGCCTCGCGTTATCCGGTCACCCTTGCAAATAGCTCAAATTTCTGGCGAGGAAGCGGAATGAAACAGGATGTCGACGGCCATTTTTTTTAGAGACTCCTTTCTCTGATAATATGTCCCTGATATTTTTCAACACCTCGAAATTGCCTTACGTTTTTCCTGTTTATTTGTTTGATAGAATTGATGTCAAGAGACAGTTTTATAAATATTTCTGTTAATTTAATTTTGATTATTTATTGAAATTATCAGCTTATTACATTTTATTTATAATTCAATGTTATTTATCTAATAATTCTAATATACATAGGTATATATGTATGTGTGTATATATATATATATATATATATATATATATATATATATATATATATAAATGTAGAATTATGCCTTACAGATATATAGAATTATTACTATATCATAAAAGAGATTCCGTTGTCAGTTCATACAGTCACTTCATTCATTTCGTAGATTTATTGTTTTGTAAATCCATATGACGCATTCCGAACGTATTTCACGGTAATCAATCATTATAAATACCACTTGCGGTTCGGTCTTCTCGTAAGAAGACAAAGTAGGATATCACTCGTCTACATTATCCGTTAATCAGCACGATTATCTGAGAGATAAAGCCGCCATATCCGCCGGGTTAACTAGCGTGTTTTACAGAAGTTTTACTGAGAGGTATCCGTTTCTCCTCTTTAGGGTTGGATCGAAGAGGTTCAGTGGGTGCAGTAGCGAGCTCTGCAGAAGGTTATAGGCGAAATTCCCAGGAAACTCTCAAACTACGAATCTCCGCCAATAGACGAGGCGCAGTCGAATCGTCGTGCGGAGGTCGGAAACGCAGGGGACGAAGCGGATTAATTACAACTGCCCGTTTCGCCGGTGGAACGACGAAAACGGTTAACTCACTTCCCTTTACGTCTGATCGTTTGTGATTGCGATTAAAGGCTTAAACATCATTACTTAACGATCGAGCGAACAAAACGTGTATTAAACCCGAGGAAATAGAAGATCGATCTTCGCAAAGCCGGTCTTGTCAAAAGACTTATCGTATTCCTTCCTCCTCGCAATTGTCACGTATTGTCGTAAGAATTATTATCTTTTTTCAGAATGTGAGAATTTAGTCCCTGATGTTGGAAGTTTTAGCAATTAAGGTATAACTCATAATTTCGATGAATTATTCTACGACATAAAATACTTTACTGCAAAATAATTTTATTTTTTTAATTAGTCCAACAAATCTACTTGCAAATAAGCTTACGTGTAAGTATTAATATCTATCTCTTTTATATGGATGCATCGAGCAAATGTTGGTGTAATATTTTATATGTATATGATTTCTGTCTAAAATATCACAGAATATTAGATGATAATAAATCAGGTAGCTTCATTTAAGGGAACAGATATAAAGACAAATTTATTATTATGCAGCATTAAAATAGACTTTAATGCGAAAGTAGTAATACGAGATGAAAAGGGAAAAATTTGCGGTACGATTCACGTCACGGAACAGGTATATTAAGTTATTTAAGCCAAATTATCAGAACACAAAAAATTTTATATAGAATTAATTTGCTAATTATTTGCTATTTTTTGCTTTTACAAGTAATTTTTTGCTCCAGCTATTAAAAAGTTACGAAGGGCTGAATAGCTTCACCCTCCTCGGGGGTGGGGGCTGGATAAGCTATCCAGCCCTTTGTAAATTTTTAGTAGCTGGAGCAAAAAAATTACTTTTAAAAGCAAAAAATAGCAAATAATTAGCAAATTAATTCCATATAAAATTTTTCGTGTTCTAATAATTTGGGTTAGATAGCTTAATATACCTTCACGGAACGTGGAAAATAAGTCCCATCAGAGGGGAAAACTTTCTTTGCACCCCATCGAATTTCTGTCGTTTAAATCCTACCCCGTATAGTCGAGTTTAGTTCATTTACAATTAGAGAGTATTTTTACACAATGCTTCTTTCCCATTTATTTTTGTTAGTGTTTTTTCTGGGATTAAAATAAAATAAGCTCGACGAGATTTTTTTGGGATTTTCTACTATATTGCTCTCGAATCTCTCTCTCTCTCTCCCCCCCCCTCTCTCTCTCGATTAGTGGATTTTCTTTCGAATATATTGCTTTGTTTTGCACAGCAATGAAGATAAATTCGTATGCATTGCATTTGTACAGATTATACCGCCAGGTTTCTTTATTTCCCCTCAAAGGCAAAGTGATAATCCACGAAATCCGAAAAATTTGGATAAATCTGTAAAATTGTATTGCAGCAATTATGCGCAAATCAGTTTCACCTCTCGTCTCCGATCGACGATAGAATCGTTTGATAATCGAGCTCGCGAATGTTCTCCGATCGAATTTCTTTTGGCAAATCGACTATGAATGATGCATAGTGTGTGCGGTAGTTTCGTATATTCCTTTGAACTCGCAAAGTAACCTTTAAACTTTCGCCATTTCTGTGAAAATACGATTGTAAGTTGAGATTTTCTGGGTGTGTGTGTACATGTATGTGTGCGCGCGAGTATTCCAGTGTCCTATGTCGAGTAATGTAAAAAAATGTAAATGGAATTCGTATACCTTCCCTCTTAACGAAGAAAAGGCATTAAAAGTCTTACGCAAGCACGGGACTATTAATTATGTTTGGCGATTACAGCGATAAAATACAAGGTAGTGAAATGCGAAAAAAAAACGCACTTAAAATATTATTACATCTATTAAAAAGTCATCAACGAAACGCAAAGACGAAGTGGAGCAAAGTAATTTTACTCAGTCGTGAAGAGGACAAATAAGTAAGCTTATTAACAAAAACTGACCGACAAAAGCTCTCGATTGATCGACACACTTAACAACATCTTACATTGATAAATGGCCGCATAATGTTTCTTTGACTCGTTGGCGGCATATATAAATCAAATAGACAGTATTGTATCGAGACACGGTTGCGTACGGCCGCGCAGGTGTGTCGAGACTCGAAACAATTATTGCCGCTGCGGTGCATCCTGATGCGCCTGGCGCAGCGCATTCGTCCCTTTTAATATTTCTGCCGCAGCGGCGGAGTACGTGGTATACGGCGCTTTGCGTCGTGCAAAATGAGAAGAAAAGGAAAATGCGCGCTACCGATGAAAAGCATGGAAACGCCCTTGTCCGACTCTCTCTGTCCTCGACCCTCATTGGCCTCTCCCCGAGCTATACACACTTCTCTCCGCGTGCTTTCATCTTCCAACGCAGCGCCTCACCGTATAATTGGACAAACATGGGCTGATATTTATGCAAGTGTTATGTCCGACGTGAAACGCTGTGTGCACGTTACTCACGGTTATACGCACGAAATTCCGTGGATTGGAGTGCGCCGCGAGAGAGATTGTCGTGAAATAAAAATGCCCGCGGAAAACGAAATCACTCTCGAGTAGACGCTTCCACAGTCAGGTCAGGGAAAACTGCATGGATGAATTTGAAGGGACGTAACTTGAAATTGCGAAGAGAATAGGACGGAAAGAAATTGTACAATTTCGATCGTACGATATTCAAACGCGTTTTACGATTTGCGCTGACAATGAATTGGTCGTTGCTGTTAATGGGAAAGTGTGTAAAGTAAGCTAAAGTTTCTTTGAAATGCACTTCTGGAAGATACGGAATAAGATCCGGAAATGGAGTCGGTCTCTTAAAATAAGTAGTTTATAGTAATGTTTCAATGCGAATTGTTCTCTCGTGCATAATTTTGTTATTGATGTGAAGAAAGTTAACATTAAACGAATAAAAATGAAATTGAGAAAATTATAAACTATTATAATAATCGTGTGCGGTTTAATGCAAACATTAGAGTAAAGATAAACGAAGACCACACTTACCTTTTCCCGTCATGTTCCAGGTTAGAAATTTACTTAAGGTTCCACTTTCTTCTGTCTTTACTTCCTGTTGCTTCCCATCCGAAATTCCCATCTGTAACATAAACAATACTCAATTTAAATTTTAATACTCAATTTGAAACGTGATTGCTCGCACAGTAGAATAATAGTCAAAACATGTATTACCTCTCCATTGCGATTTTTATTAGTATAACAAACTGTTTTTTGTCAAGAATTTTTTATTATAATTTTGATTATAAATTAGTAATTATAAATAATAGTTTTATATCTATATTTAGCATTATTCAACTATAACATTTAAAGATTTGTCTTTAAAATTTGCGTAAAATTTTTTATCAATGATATCTCTATAATATATTATTTCTTAATTCGCAAAGAATTGAATAGGTTTTTTCTCATAAAATGTAAATTCAAAGAAAGTATAATTAATAAGTTAGAATTAAGCTTATCAAATATACCTGCCGATGTTACCGATAGTATGCTAACGAGACATGATATTTAAGCATGGAATGACCTAATTCGTAATCTGATCCTCGTTTACTTGGGTATCCTTGACCCGGTGAACGTAAACATTAATTAACATCTGACTCATAGATCTCTCATAGGTCGTGTGATATTTTCGAATTCTGTTTGATTACACAAGAAGAAATGTTAAGACGCTCAGAAAGTGGTCGTTAAAACCTTCTGCCATAAACAAAAACTTAGCAAGTAACTTACTAAAGTTGAGGCTACATATATGATATATTTTTGGTTTACGTATATATACGCGTTTTATCAGAATATTATTACAATACTTCACAAAAATTACCGCTGTGGGTTTGAACAACTTGCAAACCTCGGAGATATTAGTCAAGACACATATCGTGGTCTCCTCAAATCCCTCGACAGAATGATAAGAACTTTCAAAAGCCTATGTGTGCATTATTTTATGCAAAATGTGCGAATAAGTTAGTAACAGACTGAAACATTATTTTTATTTTATCATCTCCGACAATTTAGGTTTTGGAAATTCTAATAATTTTTTTTTTAGTATTAGGAGAGTATGTGAGATATTTTATTTGTAATTTATTTAATTATTTAATAAATTTCAATTATTTGCAATTTATTATAAAATCAAATAAGAATCGAAATCGTCCAATAAATATGATAACGCAGTAATTTAGGTACTTATATTAATTAATACATTATCGAATCATTAAAATGTTTTAAATATTCTTTTAAATATTTATAAGAGAGAGAAATTATGAAAAGATAATATTTACTGATTTCATTACTAGAAAGATATTATATAATAGCTCATATCCGCAATAACAACAACTATTTAATAATTCTCGTGGCATTATATATTGCGTTATCAAATAGAATAAATATAATAAATTAAATAAATTATACAACATAAAATACAATAAATCGACATAATTTCGGTGTATAATAATTAATTAAATTTTGTTTTATATCTCGCTATATAAAGAATCGAGAAAATCCGTACCGAAATAAAATATCGTAGACCAAACCTAAGGATACCGCATGAAAAACGGCAAAATTCAATTTTCTTTTCTGCTTCTTCAGAAAATGAGAAAAACGGCTATTTCTTCTGAAAGATTTCTGTTCCTCCGCGAACACCAAACGTTCTCTCCGAACTTCGAGCATGTCGTGGTGACCTTTGAAGTAGGACGATAGTAAATATCTTTACAGGTACAAGCGAGTCCATGCGAAAACCAATTTCGTAATCGAGATGTAAATTGCACCGCATCTGGCCGATTGCCCAGCTCTTTCTCTCTCTTCTTCCCTTCTCCCCCCCCCCTCTCTCTCTCTCTCTCTCTCTCTCTCTTTCTTCGTTCCCCATCGAACTTTGCTTTCTGTTTGTGACATGCACCTTCGGTGCCTCAAGCTCTTCTTATCCGAGGTACTCACCGCTCACTCGCTCGTTCTACTCTGCACGTGCAAACACACTTCCCTTATACCCCGGCTATATTATTTGGCACGTTGAGCGTGGCATAATGCGAGCTCCATTTCTGGAACGATTCCAGCGGTCGGAAACAGCCGGTGGGACACCGCCACCGATTTGATCCCGGTTGCTTCCTGATGAAATGCGGCAACGCGAATAGGTATACATACACATGAAGAATATTAAACACGTGGCAGACCACGACCGCTCCATTCTCATTTCTACATTTTCTACCGTGTGCGTGTCATTTTGCTGATCAGCGCAGCTCTTGCATGCGGAGCCTTTATGTCGTTATTAAGTTCGACGTTTGATTTGCAACGATTGATTGCAACGCGTATAATTTGCAATAACTACCATCGATCTCGTAGCAGCAAAATAACCGAGTCACACTGCTATAAATAAATTCTTTGTTTAAACTATGAATCGGAGTATTTCGATCTGCAGAAAACAGAGAGAAATTCTGAATATAGACGTATAATATGTTCGACATTTCGGATATTTTAATTAATCATAATTGCGGTTGCGAATAAATTTATTCTTAAAATATTTAAATTTGGAAAAGATTGCACTTCTGTATCACTTTCATCTTTGGATGCTGTATCGTGTGTGTCTACTCCAATCACGCATAAATACTATATCTTGCGAAAGTACAGGCAACAATGTGCGTTGCAATTGTTGCAATTATTGATATTGATATCACGAACACGATTCTATCTTGTCAAAAAGCGTGACTTATTACATTTTGCGTTATTGAAATCTTATTGCCACGGTTATTGTAAATTGCACAGTAAATTGTGAAGACGTATATCAAATCTGATTTTCTAACGCTCCGCGTTGTTAATTGCCTAATTTATAAGCGCACGTACGAGGAACGATATATTCTCGTGCTCCGAAATTTATGTATCAGAAATTCTCAACATTTACATTTCTCGCGATAGGAGTTGTCGAATAGCGACCGTGTTACCGATAGCACGATGTCGCATTTGCGAACGTTATGACGCGCATAACTGAAGTTCCGTCCGAGTTCGAGTGCCGTGCCGTTCCGCATGCAGTTCGGCGCAATCGTCTGCCAGCTGGATTTAATCGGCAACATGCCTTATCCTGCTACTATATATGGCGGTGCAAAAGAACGGAACACAGAGGGCTAGAAAACTCGCGCGGGCTCTCGTAAATTACAGCAGTTGTCCTTGCATGAGTATTATCACTCCTGTGATAAACAATCACATATATTTGAGCCATTTTAATCTAATGTTTCTGTAGGCATGGAACGTTTCTTTCTAGTACGATAAATCCTCTTTTTACTCGCATTTTCAGAAATATTTCTTTTTATCTTTGAGATTAATATGGCATAATTTTTACTGTACAATCAAAAAATTTTTTTGTATTGTTTGTGATGTTTATGATATATTTCCAACAACTCTAAATCCATATAATAATAAATAGATTAATAATTATTAATTAAAATATTGCATCCCATAAATAAGGCAGTATAAAAGGGATCTTGAATTATTTTTTAGCTCACACACAAAAGACTTTTATCGCCAGGAAATTTAAAATTTAAGATTAAGATGGCAAGAAGTTGTAAATAATAGTGGAAAATATATTTTGGATTAAAATTAAAGTGCCAACATTTTTTGTTTTATTTCAAAAGTATCTCGAAAAAACCGCATTACTTATGATTACTGGAATGATCTAATATCGCTGAGTGCAATGTGTAATTTAAGAATATTATTTCGTGTAGCTTCTAAGCGTCTAACATATACAGTTAAACGCAACAGTCGGCACTCTCATGGACGGTCACGATTCGCATCTGCACATATAGCACGTAATTTATGACATCGGGAGAAGTATAATCTCATGATAGATGAAAATGGCGACGTGTCCGCGTTTGTGTAGACACTCGCGGAAACTATCGCATTCGCGTCCGCTTTCTGACTTATTGGTCACTACGGCCATGATAAATAACCGTATTAAGTTGAGAGCGTGCGAAAGGAAAATCCGCAATGAGAGAGTAAATGGAAAAAAAAAGAACTGCGTCCCGCATCGAGAATTAAATTGTGTCGTAGCTAGCTAGCTCAAATTGGAGTTAATTAAATGTGTATTCACACGTGGAAAGTACGTTAACGCTGATGTTTATTAGAAATCAAAGAGCGAGTGCTTTACTGAAAGTATCTTTAGTCTTGTGAATTAACAAATCGCATACTAATTAGAAAATATCAATAGCCGATATAATTCCAAATTATGTCATATCGCAAGTGTAAAGTTTATCTGCAGTTAATTAGGAAGCTAGAGTCTTTATATTCATGATTTAATAATAAACATGATTACAAATATCTTTTATTGCACTTTTTGTTGAACTCTACGATATGTAAAGACGTTAGACTCAGCCAATATTTAGTTTAAGAAAATCTTCTTTTTATTATGTGACAATCTCTCTTTGATAGAAAATTTTAAAGATAATAGTTACATCATACTTGTTTTATACCAACTGAAAATTATGTAAACAGTTCGTCAATAAAATATGAAATTAACGTTAAATGCAGCTTTTTACGATTGTATTGACATCGGTGAACGTGGAACGCATATAGGATCGGAAAAAAACAATCGGAATAAATAAAAAAAAGAGATATAAACATGCCCCAAATAATATTTTCCACGCCAAAATAACACGACCTATCGAATGACGAATGATGTGGTTTCATTGAAAAATAGGATTTCGCGTATGGATTACGTTCAATGCGTATATAGCATTGAACAGCCGACGTTTTCTCCGATTTATCGGAAATCTTTTCTGTATGTATTCAAAGAGCACGGCTCTATAAAATTGTTTTCTCTATTCCGATAAGATAGATAGAAAGCTTAGCTCGTCGAGTGAATATTCCCCAGCGCATTTATATTTCACCAGATAATACACCAGAAAATAAACGGTCTTTAATTTCGGACCACCGAATGGCGGTATAACGTTTGTCTGCATAATTCCCCGCGGCATATTTTTTGCTGAAATGAGAGCGACCATGGGGCTTTTTAAAATTAGCAGTCATAAGTTTAAGAATGATATTACACACCTTAATTATGTTATGTCGAGGGTTCGGCACTAATGGGCGAAGTTTTTCGGATCGTAATAG